CTTCTATTTCTCGGCGTAGTGTGTTCTTTGGCCTTCCTCTTTTCCGCTTCCCTTCAGGATTCCAAGTTAGGGATTGAGTCGTGATGCACATTGGTGATTTCCTCAATGTATGTCCAATCCACTTCCAACGTCTTTTCCTTATTTCCTCTTCAGCTGGAAGCTGGTTTGTCCTCTCCCATAAAACGCTGTTGCTGATAGTATCCGGCCAGTGGATGTTGAGTATTTTGCGTAGACAACTGGTTATAAATACTTGTACCTTCCTGATGATGGTCGTAGTAGTTCTCCACGTTTCAGCTCCATACAGTAAGACCGTCTTGACGTTGGTATTGAATATTCTCACTTTGAAATTGGTTGAGAGTTGTTTTGAGTTCCATATGTTCTTCAATTGTAGAAATGCTGCCCTTGCTTTGCCAATCCTCGCCTTTACATCTGCATCCGATCCTCCTTGTTTATCAACGATGCTCCCCAGGTACTTGAATGTTTCCACCTCTTCCAGAGTTTCGCCGTGATTGGGTTGGTGTTCTCCGTGTTGCATTTGAGAATCTTGCTTTTTCCTTTGTGAATGTGGAGGCCTATCGATGCGGAGGCTGCTGCTACATTTGCTGTCTTCATCTGCATTTGTTCGTGTGTATGAGAGAGGAGGGCTAGGTCATCTGCGAAGTCCAAATCATCTAATTGATTCTGAGAAGTCCATTGCATTCCGTATTTCCCTTCACACGTCGAATTCTTCATAATCCAGTCAATCACTAGAAGGAAGAGAAATGGGGAGAGTAGACAGCCTTGTCTGACTCCGGTCCTTACTGGAAATGTATCTGTCAGCTGTCCTCCATGCACCACTTTGCACTGTAGTCCATCGTATGAGTTTTGGATAATGTTGACGATCTTCTGAGGAACTCCATAGTGTCGAAGAAGTTTCCATAATGTTCTCCTGTCCACGCTGCCAAACGCCTTCTCATAGTCACTGCGTCTACTGCGTCTTTCATCCGATTCAGTAGCACTCTGTTGAAAACGTTTCCTGGTACTGATAACAAACTGATGCCTCTGTAGTTCTCACATTGGCTCAGATCTCCTTTCTTTGGTATCTTGATGAGATATCCTTCTTTCCAGTCCGTTGGCACTTGTTCCTCTTCCCAAATCCTCTTGAATAGAAGGTGAAGCATATTTGCAGTTATTTCATGTCTGACTTCAGTGCTTCAGCTGGTATATTGTCAGGTCCTGCCGCCTTCCCACTTTTGATTTGTCTGATGGCCATCTTGACTTCTTCGATCGTTGGTGGAGTGACATCTATTGGAAAGTCTGTGTGGGCTGCTTCGATGTTCGGTGGATTCAATGGGGCTGGTCTATTCAGCAGTTCCTCGAAGTATTCTGCCCATCTTTTCCTCTGTTCTTGAATCTCAGTGATTGTTTTTCCTTCTTTGTCTTTGACTGGTCTCTCTGGTTTGCTATATCTGCCTGCCAATTTCTTCGTTGTATCATATAGTTGTTTCATATTTCCTTCCCTTGCAGCTTTTTCCGCCGTCGTTGCTAGTTCTCCCATGTAGTTCTGCTTGTCGGCTTTAATGCTTTTCTTCACTTCCCTGTTTGCTTCTGCGTAGTCTGCTTGTGCTTTGACTTTCTCTGCTCGTGTTCGGCTGTTGTTAATTGCTAGTTTCTTGTTCTTCCATTCTTGAATTTTGTCCAGGGTTCCCATAGAGATCCATTCCTTGTGATGATGCTTCTTAGGACCAAGAACTTCCTGACACGTTGAAGTTAGTGCTTCTTTTATCGCTTTCCAGTTGTCCTCCAAAGTAGTTTCTTGTTCATTCAGTAGATCCTGTAGAGCTTGGAACCTGTTGTTGAGAGTTATCTTGAATTCATGGAGCTTGTCAGTATCTCGAAGGAATGCTGTATTGAACCTTTGTAATTCTGTTTGTCCAGTTGTCCAGTCTTTCTTTAACTTCAGTCTCATCTTGGCCACAACCAGGTGGTGATCTGAAGCTATGTCAGCTCCTCTCCGGGTTCTCACATCTTCCATTGATCTTCGGAATTTTTTGTTGATACAGATGTGATCTATCTGATTCTCTGTGGTGTGGTCCGGTGAAATCCATGTAACTTTGTGTATGCGTTTGTGTGGGAATATTGTGCCGCCTATAACCAATTTGTTGAAAGCACATAGGTTTGCAAGTCTCTCCCCATTTTCATTTCTCTCTCCTAGTCCATGTCGTCCAATTATATCTTCATATCCTGTGTTGTCCACTCCAACTTTAGCATTTAGATCTCCCATAAGGATGGTGAGGTCCTTTCGTGAGCACTTTGCTACAATTGATTGCAGCCTTTCATAGAACTGATCTTTATCATCGTCGTTGCCATCATTTGTGGGTGCATAACATTGGATAACGTTCATTGTGATCCCCTCCTTCTTTGTTCTGAATGATGCTTTGATTATCCTGGGTCCATGAGATTCCCATCCCACAAGTGCATTTCGTGCTTCTTTGGACAGCATTAGAGCAAATATCTGAGTGTGTGGAGCATTTTCCCCTTCGTGACCGGAGTACAGCAGCATCTCTCCTGTACCTAGCCTTTGTTGTCCAGTTTGTGTCCAATGGGTTTCGCTGATTCCGAATACTGCCAATTTGTATCTCCTCATTTCCATTGCTATTTGGCTGGTCTTTCCTGTCTCCCACATTGTCCGGACTTTCCATGTACCTATAAAGAGTGTTGCTCTGGTTGTTAGAAGGTGCATCGGCCTCGTGACTTCCGAAGAATTTCGGCTTTCATCATGAGACGTCACTATTCCTTCAACTTGGAGTGCAGAGTTTAAATGGTTTGAATTATTTTTTCTGGTTAGCGTTTTATAGCGAGTTAGCTTTTCTACGGGATGGGGTCGCTAACCCCATGCCCAACCCTCCTCCTTTACCCGGGCTTGGGACCGGCAGTAACTCTAGAAGAGCTACAGGCGGAGTTGAACCAGAGCATTTGGGGGACATTAATTGGCATTATTGCATCTATATACTTTTTAATAAAGGGTAGTTGTGAAAATGGTTAGATTTTTCTAGTTTACATGAAGAAATGATTTAGTTGGCCGCAAGACTGAATTAAAAATTCTGTGGGGTCGTACATGCACACTGTTGAGAAATCGCATACTCAGAAGAAGCAGCTATGTACTATAGATAGAAATTTTCGATATGTTTAATGGTGTTGTATCTTGACGAGGATACTGAATGGTAACTGTTGGGATCTATTTATGGACCGATGCGATACATATATTTTTCTTGAGTAATTACTAAGTAGCTAAACTATGCATATTTATGTTTCTCATATTATAAGCTTCATTTTGACCAATAGACTATTATTATGCAATTTACCATTCTTGAGTCATGCCCAGTCTGTCAATTACAGTCTCCGACATTCACAGCCACTTTTAGCTAGATCTTTTACAAGTTTTTTTTTCTGTTTTATGGTGCGATGTGGTCTGTTTTTGTTTGAATATGAACTCAATATATTTGAAATACGTGTTACATATCGCAGAGGCTGAGATTTGTGTTCTGAACTCAACAGTCAGATAGTTCTCGAATCTCCGCGACTGTTAATTTACCGCGCAAATTTCGTGTCAAGATTTAATGTACATTTGAATTCAGTTTCCTATAACTTCTCCCTAAAATAAACTTATCACTTCTTGATTAATATTTTAAGACTGACTAAAATTAGTCATCATTCTTAAGTCATACCATAGTTAGAAGGGGTTCTGTGGAGATTTCATTAGTTTCATAGTTAAAATCATGGGTAAATGGTAGTTAGATCACCATGGAAAACCTCGAAGCACTGGACGGCCGTTTCGTCGATTGTGAGACTTCGTAGAAGTGCGCATCCACGGTCTCACCTCGCGAAATTCGAACCCAGGACCTACACACCGTTGGATACCGGTTACAGCGCCGAACATTCGTTTCTCGTCCTCTCAATTTCGTAAAAAACAACAGTACTGCCGTGAGAAGGCAGTGAGTAGAACTTCTCTTGTAGAGGTTATATACGCGTTGCCATGTGAGAGCGTTTGGAAAGGGCGAGCGGACTCTCCCCAAACTCGGCCGTACCAGGGCATTCGAGGGCAGTAACCGAGTCTATACTATGAAACTATTCGATGAACTTTAGACAAAAATCCTTATATACATATACATATATATATATATGATTATATTTATTATTGTAACAAAAAAATGTAGATACAATTACATTGAATAAACATTCTTAAGAAAAGCACACAAACACACACACACACACTTACACAAAAAACAAATAAATATACAAAAAAGGGGAGATTAAAACTTATAAAAAGCGAGAGAAAAAAAGAAAAGACGAATAATAACAATGATCAACATTGATTTATTGTTTTTGTTTACAATTGTGTATCTATTTTTGTATGTAATAATTATCAGTAAAAAAAAAACAATACAGAATAGTATACACAATAAAATCAATAAATTTGTAATATTTTTTTTAAAAAAGGGGAGGGGTTGAAAATGTTTAAAAAAATTTTGATTTTTTTTTTTAGAAAAAAAGGGGAAAATTTTTTTCTTTAGATTTATTTTTTCTAAAAAATATTTTAAACTTTTTTTTATTTATCATTTCCTTGCCGTCCTTCATAAATGAAGGAAGGCAATATGATGAAACAAACAAATAAACAAATCAATAAATCAATCTATTCTTATTTAATCGAACTTTAATATTAAACAATATGGTGCCTAGTTTTTTTTTCTTTTTTTTTAAAGAAAAAAAGGGAGAAAAAAGAAAATAGAAAAAGAAACAATCATTCATTTGAAAAATGTTTATTTATTCCCTAAATGTTTATTTGTTTGTTGTCAAGACAAAAAAAAATAAACGAAATGTCTTTACAATATAAATAGGAATGTACAATAATCATAATAGAAGTGTATCAAAAGGAAGGAAGGAAAGAATGAATAAATACTTCCCCCCCCCTTTTTATCGATCTTAATGTTTTATAGTAAAGGGGGCAATAAATTTTTTTTTCAATCAACAAGATGGGCATCTTTAGCTAATGAATAAAATTTTGAATTTTTATTTTGTAATAATTTTTTTGGACTATCTAATTCTTTCATTTGACCATCTTCAAGAACAAGAATACTGAAATGAAGAAGTAAAGTAGAACGTAGAACAAGTTTATTACCCATTAAACATAAAATGATAAATTCAATGACATTACATAAGTCAGGTGTGTGGTTTTCATTCTAAGGAGTCACATCAACTAGAATAGTTTATATTTACATTCTGTTCAATGATTGTCAAGGAATTCGATATGTTTCCTTTAGAAAATCTAAGAAGTTTTTCTAAGGTTGATGCCTAAGTCCTATAGAAGGTTAGTCACGGCCTAGGTAGCTCAAATGTAACGTCTTTCACTCTGAAGCTAAGTGAAACAAGATCAAATCCGTCAAGAAGCATTAGTTCCATCAGGATTACAGGTCCATCTTGCTGGTGGGTACCGAATAGCATAATGATCGATTTGTGACCACTGATAGTTTGCTTTTTGACTATCTAATCATAATATTGTTTAATTGGTTTGTTTAGAATCTAGCCTCTCTGAAAAAAAATTTCATACCTGAAATTCATAAAACAGTTTAAAGTGTAACGGTGACTTATTGGCAAAAGATACACATCTGTTAAGTAGCAGGTCACAGATTCTAACCATTCTCCTTCTAGTTCAATTTGGACAGCCAGGCAGTAATAAGGCCCTCACAAAATTACTTGTTTATTTATTTGAACAAATAAATATTGGTAGATATATATGCACCACACAAGTCACTTGATTTGTGTGTGAGCTATGATACTGCCCGAGAACCTGAACCGAAACAGGTAGTTTTCTCAGGGGGCCACACCAAGAGCCTTTGACTAAGAGGTCTGATCCACAAGGCTGTACAGCGACGTCAGGAGATGTAGCCTCATAATAGCCGGTAACTAACAATAGGCTAATAAGCCATTTGTTTCTTTAGAAAACTTGAGCCCATGTACAACAATGGTTTGAAATGAGTGTCTCCCAACTCCCCTGAGTGGATCCTTTAAATCCACCAGCCCGGTTAAAGCACCGTATATTCACTATTCTTCCTCCCAATTTCGTAAAAAACAGTAATGCTGCGAGGAAGCAGCAAGTACGACTTCGTTGACAGTAGCTGTTTACGCGTGTCCATGTGAGAGAGCATTTCGAGAGGGAGAGCTGACTCTCCCAATTCTTGACCGTACCAGATCATTCGGGGCCCTAACAAAATAGTATAAATGAAGACCGAGCATATAAAAACTGTATTTGATAGATGAGTTGGAAAGATAGTTTACATCGAGGACTGGATTTAGCTATAAAACAAGGAGGATTAGACGGTTGTTTCTTCTCAGCATGGAACAATTCAGCCGTGCGAACTCAAGACGACGAGTGCATCAATATTATACCAATTACTTGAAATCTAATGGTACATTCTTCAACACCAGTCATTTTGTAACATTATCAGATAGAAAACAAGCATGCACAACATTACCAACACATACCGATCATAATCTAGAACTGTATTAATTCGATGAGCAATAGTAATTACAGTAGAAGAAGAAAATTCTCGACGAATAGTTTCTTGAATTAAATTATCCGTTTGCATATCTATAGCAGCTGTAGCTTCATCTAATACGAGAATTGAAGTATGCCGAAGTAAAGCTCTTGCAAGACAAACTAATTGTCGTTGACCAAGACTAAAAAATAATTTTTTTTGTAAAACCATAATAAGTATTCATTTGCATAGATCTACACAAAAAATTATTGTGGATACATTGTGGAAAAAAAGCAGATTAATAGAATTACATAGTTAGAGGGTATAATCAAAACGATCCTGTTGGGGATGTCAAATCCCCAGAACTTACTTGGTAAATGGCTTAATTTTGTAATTTTATTTTGAAAATTTGAATTTCTTTGTTTTCGCGCTAAAAGCGCTCTTTTCCCTTTCGAATCGAATTTTCCACTTGTAAAATATCTTAAACGCTATTAGTTCATTGTTTCGTTGAGTGTGTTATTTTGTAATACTGTCCAAAGACTATTCATTACTGGACATATACTTTTCATTTCCCCCACTCTTATGATTGCTGTGCTTCTGGCTGCTACGGAATATATTTTCCCCGCTCCCAACTTGGACTTCTTACTCTAATTATTTATTTATTTATTTATTTAAACACATAAATATTGGTACAATGAAGCACCAGATAAATATGCGCCTCACAAATCTCATTCGATTTGTGTGAGGGCTGTGATACTGCCCAGGTGCCCAGACTGAAGCAGGTAGTTTTCTTAGGGGGCCACACCCGGAGCCTTTGACCAAAAGGTCTGATCCACAAGGCAGTGGAGCATCGTGAGGAGATGCAGTCCCATGGTAGCCGTTGACCAATGACAGGTTCCTCCGCCATTCGTTCCATCAGGATACTGGAGCCCATGTGCACCATTGGTTTGGAATCAGGGTTTTCCAACTCCCCTAGGTGCACCCTCCGTGTCCACCAACCCGGTTAAAGCGCCGGACATTCGCTTTTCGTCCGTTCAATTTCGTAAACAACGCCCCCGCCACGAGAAGGCAGTGAGTAGGACTTGTGTTGCAGAGGCTATATATTCGCTGGCCATTTTTTTTTACTCTAATTAGCTGGGTCTTGGTATCATCAGAATAGCTAGCTAATCGGTTTCCAGTCACAAGTCTTTGTTCCGCTCGCTACTAGTGAATTCGCAACGCTTTCGATAAAACAGATCCATTCAATCAGTTTAGTAAGTTTTTCGGTCATTGATTTTCATAAACCCAGTGATCACAGTTAGTTAGTTTACAATGTTATGTTATGAATCCTGGATGTATATAAGTACAACTGCAAACATCTTATATAGACGGATTTCAAGCGCCTTCAAAAAAAAATTCTTCGCAGAAGCTTTGAGATTATTGTACATAAAAGGTTCATAAACGGTCCTCGCTCCTACTAATATTATCAAGAATTTTTTTCAACCAAAAACAATTAGGTATACAAACGTGAAGAAGGCCTACAATCGCTTTGAAAATTGAGTTATCAACACAATTCAATTGTTTATAGATATCAATTCGTAAACAGAAATGTACAGCAATGAACTTGAAATCATGTAAGTGTCATATAACAGAAAGTAATAATCCAGTAAGTTGCTATACAGAGTATACCACTCCCATTTTAAGACAAAAGAGATTATGGTCCCTATCTTTTTTCTCTTTTCAAATTTATTTCATTGGATTATACTCCTTCAATAACATCTTCAAACCTTAATCTTTCCGATTACTGCATATACTATTACTACTTCTACCACTATGGGATTTGAATCGACAACTACATCTCTGTGCTAATGTTGTATGGCAACTCAAATTGATATAGGTACGTATGTACGAAGTTCGACGTTGTGACTGGCTGACAGAACAAAGTGGTAGTTTATATTCAAATCTGATATAGATTTCATTACAATTCTATCATGTGTATAACTTATTCGCCTAATTTAGCAAAATTAGACCAACCTTAGTTAAACAACCACTGAAAAGCAGGAAGTATTGAATACCCATTTCGTCTCAGCATTACTCCACAAACCTTTTGAATCAAGGGTTTTCAGCTCTCGTACATAGTCTCCAGTCGTTAGACTATTAAGTCGGAAACCAAAGTTTTATGTATGATTTCTACCGATTCACGATACTGTGCAATCATCTACCGATACCATCAGTGACTGATTCTCACTAGAACTCCAGAAATTACCTCTCTAAATACGTCAGTAATGAGAATATGACTAGCGTTAGTGGAACATGATTGTGAAGATAGCTAAAATTTTAGTTTATATTATGAACTAACTTCGGTTAGACAAACAGTGAAAACTAGGAAGCACTAGGTACCTATTTAGTATGAGATTTCTCAACAGTTCCCATATAGTACTCCATCGAGGACTAAGCTCATATATGACAGTATCCGTTGTTGCTAAACTAAAGAAACTTCATGATATAAACTGTAAAATTGAACACCTTCCACAACTTCCTTACCCCATTTTTAAACAGCCGTTCAATTTCGCCTTTACTATCTGAATTTAATTGATTGAACGAACGTTTAACAACAACAACAACAAAAACTGAACACACTAACTAACCTTATATTAGAGCCACCTTCTGAGATGTTCATATCTAAACCAAAATTGACATCATTATTATTATTGGCATCTTTTATAAATGATTTTAAATTAGCTAATTCAAGTGCGTGCCAAATAGCATCATCTGTATAATGATTAAATGGATCCAAATTGAAACGTAATGTGCCAGAGAAAAGGACAGGATCCTAAAACAAAAAAACAATTAATACAAAAAAAAGAATAAAAGTCAAATAAAGTAAACAGGATCGTTGCGATCATCATTAAAAGTATTAGCATCAAATAAGAAACAGTGGTTCAGAGTAATTAACATGACCTGTTTTGGATCTACCAAGAGGTATGAAAGTAGCAGATATTTCCCGGTTACTTACACTTTGAAAGAATACTTCTTCTTGATGCATCTGAAAAGAAAACTGGATTTGAGTCTGTTTAGATGACACAGGAGTGTGACTACTTGACGCCAGTCACACTTTTTGATCGCAGACAGTAGTTTTGAATCCCTCTAAATCTATTCGTTTAATGAACAACATACAACCACAAGAAAGAATGGATACAAGAACTTTGAGTCTCAATAAAACGACAGTATTATTCCCAGACAAATTGAATTCCAAGTCAGTGGTTTAAAAATGAGTTGAAAGTTTTGGCTTTCACCAAACTTTGAAGAGGTTGAGTGAGTTATGTTGATAAATCGCAAACTAGGACAAAATAGGTGTTTAGTTCTCTTTATTTTACAATGGTTATCCAGAAAACTTCAGTCAATGATGTACATCCTATCTATAAGCGTATATCTGACCTCTTAAATAAATACTCTCTTTTTCACAAATTTTTATTCATTAAAATCATGTGAAATCAGATAGAGTCATTAGAGAAGATGATGAGAAGTACAAAGTGAAAAAGAAAGAAAACCGGTAGAGACACTTTTTGTTTTCTTCAAGATCGACCATCATTACATTCGAACACTTAAAATGATCATGAAAAGATTAACTAATAATAAAAAATTATTTCACACAATTTTACACCTAAAAAACATTTAGTTGAAATTAGACATTAACACTGTTGGATGCCAGCTCAGTGGTCTAGACGTTAGACGATCACGCTCGAAACCGATAGGTCCCGGGTGCGAGTCCCACGAGGCGGGATCGTGAATATGTACTGCTGAATAGTCTTATACTAGGACAAAACAGTCGTTCAGTCCTTCCAGGTTTTCCATGGTGGTTCAAATGTAATTGGCTGATGAATTTAACTATTAAATAGCATTAGTTATCACTTTTTTTATTATAATAAATCTATATAATTGAAAGCATGAGTCATTTGAAGCTAGACCACCAAAAAAAACCTGAAAGCATTGCTTCAAGGCCGTTTCATCGTATTGCGAGACTCCTCAGTAGTGCGCATTCACCATCCCGCCTCGCCAGATTCGAACGCAGAAACTACCAGTCTCGCATCAGAACACTTAACCGATAGACCACTAAGCCGGCATCCGACGGTGTTAATGTCTAACTTCAACCAATCCATGAAGTTGAGCAACTGTTCACCAATTGTTTTCAGTAAGTTCCTATCTCACAACAGACGTTGTTTGAACTCCACTGGTCACTGTTTCTCACTAGAACTCCAGGAAATATCTCTTGAGGCGCACTGCCACAGAGGAGTCCCACAATAGAACTAAACGGCAGTCCAGTGCTTCCAGGTTTTTCATGATGATCTAGCTTCAATTGTCTTATACTTTCAACGATGAAAATACTGAAATCTGTACACAAACCCCATCTAATTAAAATCTATATAAGTAGATCGACGACAACAACATCAACATCACTAATAACAAAAAGAATACACTTTTATAATTTCATTAATTATCGACCAAAAAAAATAATAAAACATTTTGAATATTTTAATGATGAGATTTTTTGAAAACAACAATTACGTTGTTCTGACATTTTTTTTTGTGTGTGTGTGGGGGGGGTAAATAGTAACAAATTGTTTGTTTGTTTGTTTGTTTGTTTCTCTCTATTAACTTAAAAAACTAGTCATAAAATCAAGTGAGAGGAAGAGAAGGAGAAAGAAAGAAAGAAAGAGAAAAGAAGGGATTTTTTTTTGTAAATATAATAAAAACATGTTAGATAACTATTGAAATAGAGAAAAATATTGAGTAAATTTGTTAATTAAATAACAGATCAGAAAGGGATATTTTGTAGAGATTTCAATATTTTAATAAATAGTTGAAATCATGAGTCAATTAAAACTAGACCATCATGGAAAAATGTGGAAGCAATGGATGGCCGTTTTGTCGTGCTGAAGAATCACATAATTGAATAAACGAAACAGTCGTTCAGTGCTTCCAGGTTTTTCATAGTGGTTTAACTTTAATTGAATCATGATATTAATTATAAAAAAATTACTAAAATCTTCACAAAAACCCCTGTTGATACATATTATCTCTTATATTGAACCAAGAAATTAAGAGAATTTATTCTACTCCATGAAAAGAATAAAATAAAAGGAACATATTTTATACAAAAATTGGAGGAATAAATAAGTCATCTCAGTAACGTAACATATTGAAACAAGAGAAAGTTTTAGAAAGTTAGACAGTGTTAACGTAGCATAGATTAGATTAAAGCATGTTCCGTGTAGGATTGCGTTGGTGTACACTGATTGGTTATTTTTTTGTCTAATCAGTGCTAGTAAATACTTGAAGAAGACTCTAGAATATTTTCATGTAAAAATTAAATTTTGCTTCTTCCTTTCATCTACCCTTGTTATTTGGTATATTATTTCGTTTCTGTTCAACCGTGTTCTGATTTGGGGACTTGTTGAGTGAAATGGCGTTTAAGAATACTAAGCAACAGGAATAGCTGGATCGTAATAAAGAGAAATTATAACAGACAATGATAGACAGAAATAGTTAGACTTGATTAAAAACATTTTACATGAACACCAACTGATGATAAGCAATACTTACTTGAGGTATTAATGTTAAACGATTTCTTAAATCATGTAGACCAATTTTTGATATATCAAAACCATCAATAAGTATTTTACCTTCAGCTGCTTCAAGCATACGAAATAATCCAAGTACTAAAGAAGATTTACCCGAACCAGTACGACCAACAATACCCAACTAAATATTTAAAATAGTTGAAAGTTTAAATTGATGATAATTTGATCAAAATTTATATGTTACAAAAACTAGCAATTTGATCACGATTGATCATTGGGTGGTGATCAATGTCATGCGTATCAAGTCCGTCTTAGTGCTGACCGAATGCTATCGATCAAGTTGCAATGTGGCCACTAGTCTAGGTGGCTCGACACTGTGTGCACTATATTGAAATAAGATGGTGATTAGAGGTGGTCAACAGGAAACCATGGACCCGGGTTTCGTGCTACTTGGAACTCGTCACCAAGATGTACCTGTAATCTTGAGGTAACTGGTGCTCCCTCACGGATTCGATCCCATTTCACTCAGCTTCACAGTCAGAGACGTTACCACTGATCTATTCGGGCAATGACCAACCTCCTGTAGGACTGAGATATAATCACAATTGATTGGTCACTGGGTGGTGATCAATGTAATGCGTGTCAAGTCCGTCTTCTACTAACAATTTGAGCTGTAAATAAACATTCACTTACTCACCGGTCAGAGAACTCTGTTACATGTACATGTTTGTATAATCAAGTTTGAGGAATACGTTTGTATTTATATCAGTGATGGTATTCAACCGTTTAAATCGATGATGATAAATAAGGATCTAAACCCTAACCTGTTGATTGATTTATATGAAGTAGATGCGTTCATATAACGTTATTCAAAATGACAATAAGAGCATTCAGCTCAAAAGAATGTGGCACTATCAAAATTAAACCATTATTAATGATTAACAGTCCTAGAAAGACAATTTACCAATATAATTATATCATAATTTCTAGGCCTTGTAGGTACATTTGTCAGTTAAAAGAATATATGATATGAACAGTGAAACAAGAAACCTTAACAAGCTATGGAACCTATTTTAGGGGACGTTATTTCATTTGATTCAAAACTTGTAAAACTGTAATATTCACTTTTGTCCCTAATCTATTCTACAGATTATAAGCTTTCGTTTGATGTATGATTCACTGCCATAACCTTTTCTATTCCAAAGCTATTGCAATTCAGATGTAACCTGTTATATCCCCTGGTGAATTATGTATGGTAACTCTAAGGTCTATTTATCGACCAATGTATTATGCGTATTTCCTATTGTACAATTGTTACGTAACTAAACGATTCATATTTGTGTTTCTCTTATCGTGAGATTTATTTTGATCTTTGATTTATTATCATACGATTCTTGAGTTATAATCAGTTTATTGATTACTTTGGTTTGTATAAAAACCCATTATGTTTGTAAATAATGATTCATATTGCCGAGGCTGTTATTTGTCTTCTGGACTCAACTGGCTGGGCTAGGCAGATAGGAAGGACCGAATAGCACTCTAGGCTGCTCGTACGGGTTTCGTGTCACTGTTCCAATCAAGAATTCGCTCTCCCTAATTGGCGGTCTCATCAAGTCACACATTAGCAACCCATCCACTCGGCCACAAGATATAACATAACCTTTTTTTACTCTCTTTTCTACTCTGATTCACCAGTTTTAGGCATAATTGTATTTTCCTAATTATTGTACGTTGTGGTCAGGTTAGTCATCTATTTATTCATGTATCTTTTTATACTAATCTGAATTCGGAATTCGGGTACCAGATCGGAATTTGGAATAAAGTGAATAGTGTTCCAGTTGTCTTGTCTTCTCTCTCGTGCGCATGTCTGTCAGCCAATCAGGTGATAGAATAGTTTTCGTCTCTCTAGCCCCACTTCGAACTCATGCATACTAGCCTCAAAGTTAAGCCAGTCAGCCTGACGCGTCAAGCTTTTAATCTACATTAGACAAGTTATCCTCGGCATTAAAGTGTAACATAACAATAAACAATCATAATAAATGTGTAATACAAAACAAAACTTACTTTTTCACCTTTTTCTACCTTGAAATTAATTGATTTTAATGCTAAATTTAATTCAGGTCGATATTTTGTACCATAATTGATAAATTCAATTTTACCTTCAGGCCAATTATTTGGTAAATAACTACAATCTAATTCCCATGGTGCCTAATTTTTTTTTTAAAAAAACAAAACAAAAGATACATTCATACGATTCATCAAATAATACATGAGAATCAGTGAACAAAATCGCATCAGAGTGGGAGACTAGGAATATGATCAACATAATTTAAAACAGAAGGAGTTTTTGTGGAGATTTCAGTATTTTCATAGTTGAGATGATAAATTAATTGAAGCTAGACCATCATGGAAAACGTGGAAGCACTGGACAGCCGTTTCGTCCTATTATGCTTCCAGGTTTTCCATGGTGGTCTAGCTTCAATTGACTTATGATTTCAACTATGAAAATAAATTAAAATAATCCTTAAACTACCTTTAGAAAATAATTGGTTATTTATTTCATAAAATGGATGATAATAGCGTATAGTATAAACTCTATCGTTTCTCAAGTTGTTACAGAAACAAATAACATGTTCATGAATAGATTGTATGTGGTAGTGTTTCAACTCCGCCTGTAGCTCTTCTAGAGTTACTGCCGGTCCCAAGCCCGGGTAAAGGAGGAGGGTTGGGCATGGGGTTAGCGACCCCATCCCGTAGAAAAGCTAACTCGCTAAAAAACGCTAACCAGAAAAAATAATTCAAACCATTTAAACTCTGCCCTCCAAGTTGAACGAATAATTATGACGTCTCATGATGAAAGCCGAAATTCTTCGGAAGTCACGAGACCGATGCACCTTCTAACAACCAGAGCAACACTCTTTATAGGTACATGGAAAGTCCGGACAATGTGGGAGACAGGAAAGACCATTAAAGCCGACAAGCAGAACTACATGGGAGAACTAGCAACGACGGCGGAAAAAGCTGCAAGGGAAGGAAATATGAAACAACTATATGATACAACGAAGAAATTGGCAGGCAGATATAGCAAACCAGAGAGACCAGTCAAAAACAAAGAAGGAAAGACAATCACTGAGATTCAAGAACAGAGGAAGAGATGGGCAGAATACTACGAGGAACTGCTGAATAGACCAGCCCCATTGTATCCACCGAACATCGAAGCAGCCCACACAGACCTTCCAATAGATGTCACTCCATCAACGATCGAAGAAGTCAAGATGGCCATCAGACAAATCAAAAGTGGGAAGGCGGCAGGATCTGACAATATACCAGCTGAAGCACTGAAGTCAGACATTGAAATAACTGCAAATATGCTTCACCTTCTATTCAAGAAGATTTGGGAAGAGGAACAAGTGCCAATGGACTGGAAAGAAGGATATCTCATCAAGATACCAAAGAAAGGAGATCTGAGCCAATGTGAGAACTACAGAGGTATCAGTTTGTTATCAGTACCAGGAAAAGTTTTCAACAGAGTGCTGCTGAATCGGATGAAAGACGCAGTAGACGCCGAACTAAGGGATCATCAGGCTGGATTCCGTAAGGATCGGTCGTGCACAGACCAGATTGCGACACTACGGATCATCGTTGAACAATCAGTTGAGTGGAACTCATCACTATACGTCAACTTTATTGACTATGAGAAGGCGTTTGACAGCGTGGACAGGAGAACATTATGGAAACTTCTTCGACACTATGGAGTTCCTCAGAAGATCGTCAACATTATCCAAAACTCATACGATGGACTACAGTGCAAAGTGGTGCATGGAGGACAGCTGACAGATACATTTCCAGTAAGGACCGGAGTCAGACAAGGCTGTCTACTCTCCCCATTCCTCTTCCTTCTAGTGATTGACTGGATTATGAAGAATTCGACATCTGAGGGGAAATACGGAATACAATGGACTTCTCAGAATCAATTAGATGATTTGGACTTCGCAGATGACCTAGCCCTCCTCTCTCATACACACGACCAAATGCAGATGAAGACAGCAAATGTAGCAGCAGCCTCCGCATCGATAGGTCTCCACATTCACAAAGGAAAAAGCAAGATTTTCAAATGCAACACGGAGAACACCAACCCAATCACGGCGAAACTCTGGAAGAGGTGGAAACATTCAAGTACCTGGGGAGCATCGTTGATAAACAAGGAGGATCGGATGCAGATGTAAAGGCGAGGATTGGCAAAGCCAGGGCAGCATTTCTACAATTGAAGAACATATGGAACTCAAAACAACTCTCAACCAATTTCAAGGTCAGAATCTTTAATACGAACGTCAAGACAGTCCTACTGTATGGAGCTGAAATGTGGATAACTACTACGACCATCATCAGGAAGGTACAAGTATTTATGAACAGTTGTCTACGCAAAATACTCAACATCCACTGGCCGGATACTATCAGCAACAGCGTTTTATGGGAGAGGACAAACCAGCTTCCAGCTGAAGAGGAAATAAGGAAAAGACGTTGGAAGTGGATCGGACATACATTGAGGAAATCACCAATGTGCATCACGACTCAATTCCTAACTTGGAATCCTGAAGGGAAGCGGAAAAGAGGAAGGCCAAAGATCACACTACGCCGAGAAATAGAAGCCGATATGAAAAGGCTGAATAGTAACTGGAAAGAACTGGAAAGGAAGGCTCAGGACAGAGTTGGATGGAGAATGCCGGTGAGCGGCCTATGCTCCTCCACAAGGGGTAACAGGCGTAAGTAAGTAAGTAAGTAAGTAAGTAAGTAAGTGTTTCAATCACTTGAAGTGTTGAAGAGAACTATAAGAATTTATGCAAACGAAGCGTACAGACACTAAGCGATGAGAGATTCTCATTTCTATATTAGATTAAAAGCAGTATATTAAATTTGTATGTTAAAGAAATGGATGTAGAACTGTCAGTTATGTCCATAACTAACCAATCAAATCGTTGCTTAAGCTCCCACCACGTCAATCTGATTTGATATTGTCTGTAACTATCCCTGTTGCATGTGACTTACCAATTGAAAGACATTATTATCCTATTATATTATTGTGACTCATAAATTTTATTCATTTTATTAAGACACGCCAATACTGGTCGGTATGTTTGTGCGTTTCACTTAATGACTGTAATTCTTTAATTATTGTACTAATCTAATTGTTTTTATGTTTAGAAACAGATAAAGTTTAAAGCCAAGTTGTCCTTGTTCTGACTATAGCTTTCACATAGACTCTGGGATAGCCAGTATCGTGTTTACAGTTTTAATAGTATATCTGTAGGACAAAATAAATCCTACAGAACACCTAGCGGATCCTCATAGCCGAAGGAGGTAATTTGGTTAGTGTTATCATCTTGTTCATGAAGGATTTCAAATGAACACTCAATGTCTAGCCTTCATCTCTTGTAAGTTTATCGAAGGTTGCTGTCTCATCAAACGTTTGTGTAGTTTTTATATTGATAAGGGATTGCCATGTCATGTATTGGCTTACACACACTTATTGCTTAAGTGAACACAGCAGTAATTAGTGACAGTTGGACAGCTACTTCACCAGCGTCGCTATTGACAATTACTTCTCTGTGCAAGTAGGACAGCAAAGTAACAAAAAAGTATTGTATTCCTTAGAACAGCGTATGTCTGGTGAACAATGTAGTGTTTTCTATAATTACGCGCATCAAGTGGTTTACGGTAGGATGCCTCCAACGCCGTTGACCCTATCTGCAGCAACTGAGTTTCAGATGGAATTCTCCACTTCCATGAATGTTAAAATGCTGTTGATCCAAGAGACGATAAGTATCAACTATCGAACAAATGTCGATTTGGATGTCACGTTAAGTAATGACGAGGATGAAATTGTTTCTATAAACTCAGAAGAATTTAGTGACCGAAACAACGTAAAGAAATGACATCAAAACAATTTTTGAAAATCTCTCTCTCAATGAAATCGTTTATATGTTTTGTTTGAAAACACCTTTCCTGTGTACATCAATTTTTTTTATACCTTTAAGTGTTTACTGAAAATTATGTACTATAATCATTTCACTGGTATAACAACATTATGGGAAAGGTCAACTGAACCAACACTGATGAATGATAATCAACCCATAGTGAATAAGCCGTATAATCATTTAAGAATAATAATTATAATGTGATTGTCTGAAGCAATTAGTCCCTTTGATAAGTTTCAATGGTGTAAATAAGAAGACGAAGATTAATAGAACTATGTGATTATATATTAGCGCAATACATTTCGAACTATCTTATTATACATTATATACTTGTTAAGAACATTTCTATATAAAAATGAAAAGGTCAACTAAACTGGAAATTGAGAGGGGGGCAAAAGCAATCATGATCTGAAAATAAAGGTGTGTGGACATGTACCAAAATGGTTGTAGAAACAAATAAAATCAAATGACTTAATAAGAGTAGAAGATAAACATCCATTATTCTCTATTACCAAACAGATAATCGAAACAGGTTATAAGATTGATCTTAACTTGGCATTTATGATGTTGTATAAAAGTGTAAAAGGGTTTATTGAAGTCTTAACCATACGAAAATTCAAGCCCCATTTGTGTATTCCAAAATAGTTTGTTCTTACCTTAAACCGACCCTAATAATATTAGCTTATTATTCAGAGTGATTAGGTTTCAGATTGTTTTCTCCTCTTAGCCCCCCCCCCATTTCCAGACTAGTTGACCTTTTCATTTTTATATAGAAATGTTCTTAACAAGTATATAATGTATAATCAGATAGTTCGAGATGTATTCCTCTAATATTATCATCACATAGTTCTGATAATCTTCGTCTTCTTATTACTACACTATCGAAATGCTATTTGTCACTCACGTATTTTGTAATACCGTTTTATGTTTTATCAAATTTCTATATCATCTAATGTACACTAATCTGTCTAACAATAGTACATACAAAATTTCATAAGATTGTTTTACATTGTTCAATTAAACAAATATAATTATCAGAAGGGGTTTTGTGGAGATTTAGTATGTTTCATAGTTGAAAGCATGAATCAATTGAAGAGGAGTCCTATAATAGGACAAAACGGCCATCCAGTGTTTCCAGGTTTTCCACGGTGGTCTAGCTTCAATTGACTTATGCTTTCAACTATGAAACAAATGTAAGTTTTTACTTTATGATATCAAGACTAAACGTTGGTA